AGAACATATAATTTAACAATGAAGAAATCTACCAGATACCACCTAAAAAAACAAATGAAAATAGTATTGCCAATAATGGTATTTACCGGTATGACATACCTCCAACAGTCATGTACTAAGAAGGATACAACAACACTCTAATATTCCTGCCAAAAGTATACAACCCGAATCTAACCACAAGGAAACATTAGGTAAATCAACTGAGGAACATTCCACAAAATAAGTAGCCTTACATTTCAAAAAATGCCAGTGCCAGAGAGGCTGCAAGATTATTCCACATTAAAAGTGAGTAAAAAAGACGTGAAAACTAAATGCAATGTGTGATACTGAACTGGGGTGGAGGGAAATGCAATGGAGGACATTACTGGGACAATTGGCACAATGTGCAAAACATTACAGATTATAGTACTGTGTCAATGTTAAATTTCCTCATTTTTAACAATCCTACCAAGTTTTTTTCCCAGAGAATATTCTGGTTCTTGAGAAAAACATACTGAAATATTAAGGGATAAAAAGCTATGTGTCTGCAACTGATATACATGGATCAGAAAAAAAAAAAAAATACATGTAAACGGAGAGAGAATGAGAAAGCAAATGTGGCAAAATGTTAATAATTGGTCAACCTGGGTGAAGGGTACCCAGCAATTCTTTGGACTATTCTTGCAACATCTCTATTAGTTTGAGATGACTTCACAATAAAAGTTACATCTTATTCTTGGACGAGACATCAGGGTCAGTGAGCAGTATCTCATTCAAAGGAGGTCCTTCTACAATATTTGTAAGTTTAACGGTCAGCCAATTCCTGCACCAGTCCTTTGACCACCTAACTGTACTCTGATCCCTCCTAATACACTACTGCCCACGCCATGCTGTTCCTTCTTTTCTACAAGTCATGAAACTATCTTTCAAATCCTGTGCTGAAAACAGCCTACACCAGTGTCTCCCAAGGTGTGAGCCACGCACGGTGAGCCAGCTGGTCTTGGGGAGTACTCACCCACACAACGGGTATCACTGAGTTACAGGGACATTCCCTTCTTAGTTGTTTTTCTCCACTTCCTTCTAAGTAAATAAGGGGCCCTTGTGGTGCAGTCGTTAAGTGCTCAGCTGGTGACTGAAAGGTCAGCCGTTGGAACCCATCAGGCGCTCCATGGGAGAAAGGTGTGGCAATCTACCTCCGTAAAGATGACAGCCTTGGAAACCCTATGAGGCAGTTCTACTCTGTCCTACAGAGTTGCTATACGTTGGAACTGACTCTGTGGTAATGGGTTGGGTTTTGGTTTCTAAGTAAATATTTATTTTGACAGATATTCCCTATATGTGGCAAATGATGTGACCACTGATAGAAGTGGTAAAATATTTTCTTTTAAAATTACTTTTAAGTAAACAGAAGAAGAGCCAATTTAAAGAGAAACAGGAAATAAATAACAAAGCAGGGATATGACACTGAACTGCAGATTACTGAGGTTTAGAAAACTTTGACCAATGCTAAGCACAGGACATTTTCAACGTCGATTTACAAAACAAGAGAAATGAACCACAAGATGATGAATTACATGAAAATTCTTGTAGCAAGTGCTAACTGGCTGAAATCAGTGAAAATAAAATTTTAGAAGGCAGTCCCCTGCTTTTTGAGATTATAGTAAAAATTATAGTAACATTATCTCCTAAACATAAATAGTACATTTATCATTTTAACATTGCTTAGAAAAACACTTGATGTCTAAATGTACTTTAGTCCATTTAAATCTGAAAACAACTGAAAAGGGAAAGTGGCACAATTTACTGCACCCCAAATCTTTATACCTTTAAATGAAAACAAATATACCAGCTAAAACAACAACAAAACCCCACTTTGAGAAAGTTCTAGGGAAAAACTGCTAGGGTGTATGGAGGCTATTTCAATTCCTTCC